GGAGGAGGTAGGTAGATGAAAGGAACACACACACACACACACACACACACACACACTAAACACACACACACACACACACCCAAACAAAGCACTAAACATCCAGTAACTATTCCTACCACACTCTTATCATTCATTATAGTGACCCAACGAAGACCTTGTAAAGAAATAGGACCATTTGTCACCTTCAGGTAGCTCCTCCGAAGACATAGATGGTATCAGCATAGGATTAACCACCTCTATCTGTTGTGTACTAACCCGAAAGTAAGAAAATGAAACCGGTCTTGTGTTAATTGGCAAAAAAAAACAACATCTAAACAAGAAACGTCTCCTCCTTTCTCACAGTTAAAAACACCCTCAAGCAGTGTGTGTCTGTGTGTGTGTGTCTGTGTGTTTTGTGTGTGTTTTACAGGGTAGGAGTAAGTGGTATGTGTTGAGTTGATGTTAATGTTATGAGTGGCTTAAAGAGAGAAAGAGAGAGAGAGAGAGAGAGAGAGAGAGAGAGAGAGAGAAAGAGAGAGAGTTATTTGCCTTTTATTTATGAATCTTTAGGTTTGTTTTTGTTTTGTTTGGTTTTGTTTTGATTTTGTTTTGTTTTATTTTGGTTTGGTTTCGTTTGGTTCGTGTTTATTTTTCAACATATGGTCTTATTTATTTATACTCGTATTTAAAACTATCTCAAAACCCAAATGAGATATTACAGCACCTTCCGCTAAGGGCTCAGAGACTAGTTCCAGCAGTTCAGAGACTCGTTCCAGCAGTTCAGAGACTCGTTCCAGCAGTTCAGAGTCTCGTTCCAGAAGTTCCCTCGTTCCTGCAGTTCAGAGACTAGTCCAGCAGTTCAGAGACTCGTTCCAGCAGCAGTTCAGAGACTCGTTCCAGCAGTTCAGAGACTCGTTCCAGCAGTTCAGAGTCAGCAGTTCAGAGACTCGTTCCTGCAGTTCAGAGACTCGTTCCAGGAGCTCAGAGACTAGTTCCAGCAGTTCAGAGACTCGTTCCAGCAGTTCAGAGACTAGTTCCAGCAGTTCAGAGACTCGTTCCAGCAGTTCAGAGTCTCGTTCCAGCAGTTCAGAGACTCGTTCCAGCAGTTCAGAGTCTCGTTCCAGCAGTTCAGAGATTCGTTCCAATAGTTCTCTCTTCTCTTCTCTTCTCTTCTCTTCTCTTCTCTTCTCCAGTAAGCCAGACGAAAAACCCATCTCCCACGTCTTTAAGAAACCAAATAAACTGTTTCTTTTAGCCGTGTTAATCTAAATAAATTAAAACCTATGAATAAGAAGTATATTCTAACTAATAAAGTATAACCGTTATACTCTTTTCACATCATCCTCACTGTCAGACGATACACCTGTATGAGATATATCTCTAATTATACCTGAAACACCGGAAGTATTGATATGACGTCACTATGCTGAAAGTAATTGGACTCTGATAGATGTTGTTCTATCAGCTTTTACATAGTTATGGTAGTTGTTATATGGCATTCTGTCATGGTAGATTTATAGTAGTACCCATTACCATTATTTACCGTTATATCCCAGATTAATATGTACTGACATTACCATATCTTGCCAGTATTATCATGCATTCACCATTTGTTCACCCTTAACACCATACTTCCATTGCTATTCTCTCACATTCATTTCTTAAACACCATTATCCCACCACCATACAACCAATTACCACCACTACCATACCTCCAAAACCACATCAATACCATCTGCCACTACCATACTCTCTACCATCTCCATAGCCCAAACTATCAATATCCACTACCATCACCATACCTAATCTACCATACCTTCACCACTACCATACTCCCCTAGACAACTAACATAAACCATCCCTCTTCCTTCTAACCCCCCTCCCTCCCCTCCCCTACCCCCTTACCCCAACTACCCCCATCTCAATCAAGCATACTTCCCCTCCCGCCTCCATATACCCCCTCACCCTTCCCTATTTTTCCTCCCCCTCCTCTCTTTTTTCCATCCTCTCCTATTATCTTCCCCTCTCTTTCCTCATCCTCCCTTCCTCCCCTCTTTCTCTCTCTTACCTATCTTCCCTCACCCTCTCCCTTTCTTTCCATTCCCCTTCCTTCTTCCCTCCCTCTCTTTCCATCATCTCCCCATCATTCCCCTTTTCCACCCTCTCTCTCTCCCTCCCTCACCCTTCCCCCCTGCATTATCTGTACGGCCACTTTTAATAATCTCACGCCCATCTCACGCACGCAGCTGTTGGCTTGATCACACTAGCAGCGACTTAGTTACTACCCTGGGTAATTATTCCATGCCTCTGACTTCCTGCGACAACGCTGTGTAAAGTCCAAGAGGTGGGGGGAAAAAAGAGCTAAAATCAGTCATGTTGCAAGCTGCTGGGGGAAGAGAGGGAGAGGGAGGATGTGTGGAAGGGAGTGAGGGAGGGTAGGAAGTGTGTTGGAGGGGGGTGAAGGTGGAGAGAGAGACGTGGGTGAGTAGGGAGTGAGAGAGAGGAAGAGGGAAGAAGCGGTAGAGGAAGAGGAGGGTGAATGGCTAGATGGGGAGAAAGAGGATGAGGGAGGAAGAATGGTAGGAAGAGGGAGGAAGAAGAAGAACAGGATGGTGAAGTGAAAAGTGGATGGGAAAGAGGTAGGAAATGATGAAGGAGTGTAAGGAAGGAAGGAAGACGATGAAGAAAGCTTGGAATGGGAGAGAGAGAAGGGAGGAGGAAGAGAAGAAATGGAGAGGAATGGGGAGGAATGAGAAGGAGGAGGGAGAAGTCGGGAGAAAAGCGAGGTAAGAGAAGGAGAAACAGGAGTGGGGGATATCAGAGGGGATGGAGAGAGAGAGAGAGAGAGAGAGAGAGAGAGAGAGAGAGAGAGAGAGAGAGTGAAATTTAGGAAGAAGGAAAAGGAAGGAGATGGAATAGGAGAAAGGAGGGGGGAGTAGATGGGAGATAGGAGGATGACAGAAAATGGACGAGGAGAAGGAGGAGAGGGAAAGAGATGAATGGGGGGACAGGAAGAGATGAATTAGGATAGAAGAAGAGACAAGAAAGAAATAACGTGGAAGAGGAGAAAACAAAGGAGAGAAGCAGTAGAAAATGAATAAGAGGAGATTAGAAGAGAGGAAAGGAGAGAGATAATAAAATAGGAGAAAGACAGGCGGAGGATAAAACTGGGAGAGGATACACGAAAGGAGGAAAAGACAGATGAAGAATAAGAGAGTAGAGATAATAAGAATGAAAGAGGGAATAAGAAACACAGATGAAAGATAAAAGAGAGCAAGGAGAATAGAAGGATAGAAGAAGGAGGAATTGGAGAATATACAAGGGATAGAAGAGAGAAGAAGAACGGGTGGAGGGAGAGAAGGGAGGATAGAAGGATAGAATAAGAGCAATAGAATAATATACGAGGGACAGGAGAGAGAGAGAGAGAGAGGATGAAAGGTGGGGGGAGAGAAGGAGAGGGAGGGAGAGAAGGAAGGAAGGAGGGATGGAAGGAGGGAGGGAGGGAGGGTGGTCGAGACAGGGGTGGTGGGCTGGAGGGCATTAGGAGTAAGACCTGAGTGACCGGTGCTTGTGGTGTTAGGTGATGATAAACATATGTCCAGGATGTTAGTACTCCTCCAGTGGGTGTCTGGGTAGGATATAACCCACTACTACTACTACTACTACTACTACTACTACTACTACTACTACTACTACTACTACTACTACTACTACTGTCGGACTGGGTAAGTGTTCCGTTTTTTATGATTTATTCGATTGAGTTTAGGTGTTCGATTGAATGGTGCTTGAGGAGGAGAAGGGGGTGATTACTTGACTGTAAACAAAAAAACTTCATTATCTCGTATTATCGTTGGAATATTATTAGCCTTGATTGGTACTGATATTAGATTAGGGTAAGTGATTTGTGATTCGTTCGATTGGTTTAGGTATTTTTTTTATGTCTAATGCTTATTGTCTTATATGGCGATTGGACATTACTTCCTCATTTTTTCGTCTGGTGATTGGAATACTGGCCTCAATTGGTACTAATTTCGGATTAGGGAAGTGTTAAAGTTGATGTTCATTCGGTTATCTAAGAATTCAATGAGTTGTGTTTTGGATCGAATGAGTATTTGTGTCTAGAATTCGTTATTTCGTATACCGATTCGAATACAGGCCTCGACCAACACTAATTTTAGATTGGGTAAGTGTTTGGTTATGCTCGTTTGATTAGCTAAGGGTTTAATTAATACTTGTTTCTATGGGATGAGTCATTCGTCACGCTTGAGGTTCCCACGGGCGAGACACTGGGATCGACGAACATTGGTTTAGATCGAGTAAGCGCGTTCGGTCAGCTCACGGGTTCAGTTAATACTCCATTGTGCCGTTCTCTTATCACTAGTGTTTGTTCGACTGTCGATGTGTTGTTTTAGAAGGCTATACGTATTCGACAGGCGGTTCTCTGCGTGGACATATGTTCGACAAGAGTTCATTTGAGTCGTGTAAATATTCGAATACTGTTTCGATCTTGTCACAATTCGAATAACTTGTTTTGCTGGCCATGTAAGCAATATACCGACGCTTGATTGGACAGTATAGTTAATTGACTTCTGACCGATGGCCAATTTGGAAAAAAATCACCCTGTAGTAGTCCTGATACGAATATTTTTATAGTGGTGGAGTCGCGATGACTGAGATGAATGAGACCTTGGTTGGACGTGGCACATTAGTTAAGATACACTAAACATATTAACTAATCTTATGTACATAACTTTCGCTACTACAGTTACAGTATCTTAGGATAATAAAACACATATATTGGCTTTTTCATTTATCACAGCATTGACAGTATCAGGAAATACTCGGTGTTATTATTGATATTTTAACGTCGGTAATAAAGTAATTCATGACAAATACAACTTGATTCTACATTGTTCTGGTCTAATGAAGTGAGAATTATCTAATATGAAAATTATCATGATTTTAGTATGTAAATGTTTCTAACTTAACTTTTTATCTTGAACTGAATCTTTTTTTTCCAGTACTGAGGACATCACCGTTGAAAGGTAATAAAATAGTTTGTTTTTTAAAGTAATATACACAGTACATAGTTTGTTTTCCGTTATATCAAGCAGCTTATCTAATCTCATTGAAACATGATTTTGGAATTTGATTGCTGTCTGAATAAAGTCTCATAAATTTTATAATTATTCTTCATATTACGACCAAAAGGCAAACTGCGGCCTTGTATAACTTATTTTTTCTTTTTTTACGAGTCTTTTATGTTCACTAACTTGTTCACTTTCCTGTTTGTTTGTTTTTTAGCTTTATTTATGTCAATAGATTTGTAATTAATTTTCCTTACATGGTCGTCTTTAGAAACCTTTTTTTTTATTAATTATAAAAAAATGTCGTTTATACCTTGGCTTTGGATAATTACTTAGTTTTTTATGGAGGGATTAAAATTTTTTTTTTACAATGTACTGTACAAATAATAATTACTTAGGAGAGCAATTCCAGAGATGACATTTTTACTAATATACTATAAATTGTAACAGCTGCAAGCAATTCATTTTTATTTGTTTTTTCCTCGATATGAACTGTGGATATAACCTGACACTAGTTAATTCTGTAGTTTGTGCCTGTACCAATGATTTAGTTTTTCATGTTGGTTGTGTGTGTGTGTTTTCAGGGGAGAGAGAAGGGGGTAAGGGGGGGAGAGGAGTGGGAAGGGGTGGAAGAGGGCAGAAGAGAGAAGTATGGGGGAAGAAGGAGGAGAACGGAGGGGATGAGAGGAGAAGAGGGGGAGATGGGAAAAAGGGGGAGATGAGGAGGGAGTAAAAGGAGAGGAGGAAAGAAGGGGGAAATTGCCACGCCAATCTGCTCAGACTCCACCTCTCCTAACCTGACTGAAAATGTTGTATTCTGTTGAGGTGTTTTATTATTATTATTATTATTATTATTTTATTTATTTTCGAAGTATGACTTAAGGTTGAAATATTTCCCTTGAGAAGACGATATAAAGAATTTTGTTGCTTTTTTTTTTTAATGCTTCGTTGTCTAGGAGTCTTAAGCACCATTCACTAAATCTTGGAATTTAAGAAATTTCAGCGAGTAAAGTCTTTAAGTATCGTTCACTCTCAGAGCTGCTTCACTAGACAACAAACTTCATTTTTGTTTTTAATATCTTGGAAGTTTTTGATCAATATAAACGACATTTGACCTATTTAAAAACTCTTCCTTGTGACAATCTTTAGATCACATTAAAATTATCTCCCCTGCCCCTAGATTATATCATCGACGTTAGGTTAGTTTAGATTAGGTTAGGTTAGGTTAATTTAGGTTAAGCTCCCTTAGTGTATTAATCATGAGGTGAAATAAGCTGAGGGGTAATATACATCTAATTCTGGACATCAAACAAAGTCAAGACAATCTCTAGACTCAGACGAAGGAAAACAAACATACGTCATAAAAAAAATGAGGCTGAACACTTGATAACTTCGCTGTGCAGTGGTATAGTCCTTAGAGACACAATTGATGCATTTTGACGATTTCCACAAACCTAAAAATAATGACATTGTTCTTGTTTGGAATTAGCCATGGGAATGTACCTAATATTATCTATGCTGTCTTTGTATATTGTATACCTGTGATGTCTATGTATATTGTATACCTGTGCTGCCTATGTATGCTGTCTATGGATCCTCGATATAACGGATTTTCTTCTCCATATAGTCCGGTAAATATTGTTTACCTGTGCTATCTATGTACAGTATACCTTCTTATCTATGTACAAAAATTGTTTACCTGTGTTGTCTATATTCATTGTATACCTGCACCTTGACCCGATGAAACACCTCAAGCAACAACAACAACCAAACCAAGTTATCGTATTTCTTTATAGTGAAAAAAAAATTCTTTCCTCACTATATCATCACTATAACATTATCTTGTGTTTATCGCAATATGTTCTATATATCATCAGTACTTCAAGACACCACAAGTACTCATTATAAAACTCACGTCTAGAACATTATAACTTGACATTTTACCACTCTGTAATATCCTGGGGAATTACCCTTCTAATAATAACATAACATAACATAACATAACATTTTTCAGTCAACCAACAAACCACAATAATTATTAAACGTATATAAACATTAACGCACATATTTATATAATGAAAATATATATGAGCATTAACAAACACACACAAACATAAACATACGTACATACATAAATATTAAAGGAACAAATAAATTAACAAACACAAAAATATAAACAAACATAAACACAAACAAATAATAAATATATAACAAAAATTATCATAAAAAACAATTTGTATGAATATGTTTTCGACATTTATATTATTTCAAGGACAGTCACTTAGGTACCATTTATATATATATATCATACTAACTAAGAAAGTATTACCATATGGAAGATCAAAGTAATACATTGAAAATATTAATATCAATAATGTTAATTTCTATTATGTATTTAGGGGTAAAATATTATAGGAAATATTAGTTTTATATTTTTTTGCAGTTTTTGTTTGTTTATTTTACAAACCATTACACAAAATATTTAGTTTTCATTCCAACTTTGTGTAGAATATTAATAAAGTTTAAATAATAATGAAATAATAATAATAATAATAATGATAATAATAATAATGAGAAGAAGAATAAGAATAAGAAGCATAAAAAGAAGAATGTGGTTAAGAAGGTAAATGATGATGATAATAATAATAATAATAATAATAATAATAATAACAACAACAACAATAACCGTACTGTTATTCTCATCATCACTACACAACAGGTGAGAGAGAGATATACCTATACCTGTATTAACTAAATCCTCTTCTACCTTTTCCAAATACATAACCTTGAACTTTGACCTTTCCATACTAAAACCCAAGCCATTTTAGGTGTTGCCACGAGGGAGTATACAGTATACAACTTTGGTAAAACAAAATATTATATACTTTTCCTTTATCTAGTTTTACTATTGAATTAAGTATACACAGACAGCACATAATGATAACAATAGTGGTTATATTTTCCGATACAAGCAAAGATTCGTAACCAATGCACTTCATTAACAGGTTAGCCATCTGGTGAACTCTGATCTCAACAAAAACCTAAAAAAAAAAAATTCAAACACCCAAAATTCTCACATTTCTTTCAACATCCCGCAGACAAAGATCTAAATTGGTCAAAATTCACATCAGGAACAGGGTCAATTTTTTTTTTTTATTTCCTCCAAAATTTTGACTTTTTGGAGTGAAATTTGCTCTCGCCTGTACAATGATTAAAGTCGAAAATTTTAAGTAAAGGAATATGATTGTAAGTATTGGAGGGAGGGGGGTGGGGGTCGTGGGGCGTCTGCGTGTAGAGTGAGGTTGAAGATCGATCAGAGTGTAGGAATGGCGAGAGTGTAGATCCCCGATGTGACGACTTGTTATAAAATTATTCCCTTATAACTATCCAGAAATTCTAAAAACAATAAAAAACAATCGAAAAAAAATACCCAGATTTTCATGTAATATTAAAAAATCTGGGTATTATTTTTCGATTACTGGGTGTATGATAAAGTGGCCAGACCTGTTTCAATGTGTCGTGTCGTGTCTACCTTCCTCATTCTACGCTTAAAGAAACAATTGCCATCAAAAATCCAAATTATATGTACAGTAAATAATAATTATAATTCATATTTCCCTTTGTTTATCTGTAGAATAATAATAATAATAATAATAATAATAATAATAATAATAATAATAATAATAATAATAATAATAATTTTAAGTAGATGGGATCATGAGATGTATCAGAAGTTAAGTGAACAATCAAATACATATTATATATACTTTCATTATATACTGATGTACATTCCTGTTTTATTACCTAGGCCTCTCTCTCTCTCTCTCTCTCTCTCTTTTCTTTATTATTTTCTTCATTTCTTTAATATTTCTTTTTCCACTGAGTCATCCCAAACAAGGGTAAAAGAAGAACTATAATATAAAGACAGATTTAAAGCATCGTAGAAATGCTTAAGAACAGAAATGGTAATTTTTATCGGGAATAGTAATATTATAGGGAATGGTAATCGGGAATAACAATGTAATCGGGAATGGCATTGTAATCGGGGAATAACAATATAATCGGGAATGGCATTGTAATCGGGGAATAACAATATAATCGGGAATGGCATTGTAATCGGGAATAACAATGTAATCGGGAATGGCAATATTATCGGGAATAGCAATATAATCGGGAATGGCATTGTAATCGGGAATAACAATGTAATCGGGAATAACTATATTATTCTTCCTTAATATTTCCTACATATGCAATCTTACTCATAATCTTCCTCTCACTATTACTAAAATATGACTCAAACTCTCATAAACTTACAGAATTTACACACACACACACGCACACATGCACTCGTTATTGCCATGATTTTTTAGTTTATGATCAGACACAAAGATACATCGATCGTGAGCAAGTAACTTTGTTCATACATCAATACAGACATACATATTTCTACACGTGTTTATGTAAGAGTTTTTTCCTCGGAGATATATACAAATTTATTGTTGTTGTTATTATTATTATTATTATTATTAGTAGTAGTAGTAGTAGTAGTAGTAATAATAATAATAGTACACATTGTTTCATTACCATTAGACAAATACATTTCCTATTTATATTCACAAACTAGCTAGAGCCATTCTCATGATTGTTCTTTGTGCATATTGACATGATTTACTTATAATCTATATATAAATATATCTACATATATCTATATATATCATGATATTTTTATACATTAAATAAAATCTAATTATCTTGCAAGTACAACTCATAAGCGACCTCTTGTTAATTAAAGACTCATTCACGGATATAAGGAGATAATTAATTATTAACATGTTCGATTTATAGGATTTGTTTCCATAGGGATTATATATGATAGATTCTGATAAGGGAACAAAAACTGACAGATAAACAACTCAAAACCGAATACCTTATTTTGTTTTATTTACAGATAACGTTTTCATTTTACGCCATCGTTAAAATGGTGGAGAACGTTTTTCAAGGTAGTCGAACGTTCTTTTTTTTTCAGGGTTTGGGAAACGTTTTAAAGGAATGAAGGTTTTCCAAGTCAGGTAAAACTTTGTCAATATAATGTGGT